CCCCCCCCCCACACACACACACACACACACATACATACACACAAATTGCAGAGGGCCTCACACGTCAACTTTGCACAGGGTCTCGCACCCCCCTTGTGACGGCCCTGATTAAATCCATTTAATTTTAATATTTGGCCACATGCAAAGTCAGAAACCTTTATTTTGAAATCGCGATGTACAATAAATCGCATATTTAGAAATATGTTGATGTATTCTCCTGTGTTGGCACAGGTTTAAATGATTTACGTTACAAATCAAGTGAACTCACCGCATATGCAGAGGAAGAGTTTAGCCACTTTCACACATACAGTCTTTACTGGTAAATGACTGTTAAGAGATCATGTGTGAACAGGACCTTTTCAAAAATCCCGGTAAATTTGTTCTGGCAATCATATCGTTCTTATGGAGACGACATGATTACTCTGAGCTGTTTACAAAGCTCCGTTGCTTTTTTTAATAGCTTTTCTATGTGAATATGACGCTAGATGGAAATCTTTGACCATTGCGCCACGCTGCTTTTTCAATGTGTCGCGCTCGAGACCCAGGCTTCTTTTAATTGGATACTATTATGTTTATAAGAGCAAAAACTTCTGATTGGCTAGTAATGTTAGTTTGGTTGAGAGTGAAAGCCGTGTTCCTCTCATACATTGGTAGGCGAACTCATGAACTCGAACTGATGTCAACAAGTGTTTTTAAATTTAGGACGACTATGTTTTTTTCCCCGCAGCCAAACGCTGCACGCCGGAGATCCGGCACGGTGCCAGAGAACTTTAAGCCCTGGTTAATGTTAAAAAGACAATCGTTCAGTGTTTGTTCATGCTGTTGTTGCGGTTACATGACGTAGCGGTGTCTGACTAGGGTCGAGATGTGGGGTGATGACAATCATTTCACAAAATATATACGAATTGGCGTATGTCAACGCTGTCCACACGAAAACGCAAGGGTGTCGTTTTCAGATTTATCCACACTGGGACCCGGTTTAAAAAAAATAGTGGTTTCAGGCTCCCAAAATGCTGGATTCGTTTGGACGAAACACCGATATAATACACATTTTTTGCATATACAGCTAAACACACCTCAGTGTGGACGGGGCCTTAAGAGGGCCACTGTCCTGGAGAGCTTAACTCCAACCGGCTCCTACACACCTGCCTGGATGTTTCTAATTCTCAAGACTTAGGCTGTGTCCGAAATCGCCCTCTATACCCTTAAATAGGGCACAGTTTGAGGGGACAGACATTTTTATTGGTGTCCGAAACCATAGTGGATGTTCTCGAATGCACTCATTCAATCCCACAATGCACTGCAAAAACG